GTTTTTATATAAATATTGGAAAAAAGGGGTTTATACTTGATATTAAATAAATCTGTGTCTCATCTCATTTTAATGTAAACAGACCCTAATGCGTCTTTTGTTTGGCACGCGTATCTACAGGTGTCGTCGCCCTGTCGAGATAATTTCTTACGCCATCCGCAAATAAACTAAGTATGTTCTCTTCACGGATATTTGCTCCCAAACATATTTTGCGTACTGAGAAGCACAATGTTCTACATTATTTTTATTTATTTATTTTCTTTTTATTTTATGATTAGAATAATTCCTTTGGTTAACTATCGTGCCATTAATGTATTACTATCTATCGCCTAAGCTTTGTTCTTGGCCTCCGTAAAGTTTCATAAAAATCAGTTAACTCCAAGACTTAAGAAGAACTATACGAGTAAATGCGATAGTGTATATCGTAAAAGTACGCGTTAATAATTAGTTTCGAACGCGCAGAACCATATTTTCCAAACAATGGCCCAAGCATTAGGCAAACAATAACAAGGAAGCAGTTAAACAAATGTAGATCTTTTCGTTTCGACTTTGAACGTGAAATAACGAAAAAACTTCCTTGTAATTCGGAAATATGGTTATTCTTACAATGGTTTTTATGTATATTTTACGATAATTTTGAGTATTTAGACAATTTCTAGGTGTCAAACAATTGAAAGCCTATTTTTTTTTATTTACAAAACTAAGTACTATAAAGAGCGCCGGTGGCTCAGGGGTTTCAGCACTTGACTTGTAATCTACCGTGCTGTATTCGAATCCCATCATGTACCAATGTGTTTTTCGATTTTCGATTTACATATGTACATTTATCCGACGTTCTTACGGTGAAGGAAAACAGAGTGAGGCAACCTGCTCATATCTGCGAAGAAATTCAAAGATATGTGTATAGTTAACTAACCCGCACTAGGCCACCATGATTGAGTATGGCCTAGTCACCCCTTACTTAGTGGAGGTTCCGAGCCCCTCACTGGGGACGTATAGTGAGCTGATTATGATTATGAAGTACAAAGTGTTTAAAACGGAAAAGACTGATATTTATCCTATACATGTAACATCTGTATTACTAGAAAATAACGTACACCCACATCGTAATAAAAAATTACATGCAATTTTATGGATCGCCGTGAAATGTAAGTTTATACGGTCGATGTGCAAGAAATAACATGGCCATATAAATTTGATTACTTCCGATAAAGCAATATTCCTGAAGCTGATTTACGAGACAAGTCACTGTTGTAAAATCAGGCAACGCTTGTTATAAACATCATTTTGTTTGCACATTTCTTACTAATATTATAAATGCGAATGTTTAGATGGATGGATGTTTGTTTGAAGATATCTCCGGAACGGCTCAACGGCTGTAGAACATAGTCTGGAAGAACACATAGGCTATTATGTTTTTTTTATTCCGCGCGGACGGAGACGCAGACGACCTCTCGTATTGTATAGCAGAATTTCGTAAAATGTACTTTAAAGTTCACTGAAATACGTTTTATAAAATAATCTGGTACAAGTGCATTGAATCAATTTCATTAATGAATTTAAACTCTTTTTGAATTTAAATTATAAATGTATATAAAATATAAATAAATTTCGATCAAATTTTGTAAAGTTTAAAACAGTCACATCGAGTATTTTCGATAAATAATTTTTCAATTAAACGTATTATAAGATATTATTGCTGTTTACTTTATCCAAAATAAATAATTTAAAGTTTTTTTTTATTTTGTTTTTAATAAATCAAAATAACCTTGTACTAGATTCGCGGCGCTAAATGAAAAACAAATCTCACTTGTTAATGATATATAAAACAATACATTTGCATATGTATATTATGTACGCTTAGAATTAACAGACGTACATAAAGTGAACATGAAAATGTACATATTTTTCCATTTATTTTTAACAAGCGAGTAGCACGCGACGTGACTGTGATTCGCTCGAGTGGTTTTAATCTTAGAATTGTAAGTTATTTAATAAATTTTATAAATAGTTACGTTTGTAATGCTCTAAACTACTGAAGCATAATACAAAAAATTGCAACTTTTTTGCAATTCACAAAATTAAATCAAACAATTTAATAGAAAGAAAAATGCATTGATTCAAATGAATGTATTTTATTGGTAAAGTATTATATAAAAAGAGATTTGAAACTATTTTTTTTATTTCTCACTAGCTGCCGCCCGCGACTTCGTCTGCGTGGAATGAAAAAATAACTTAATTATTTCCCGGAAATGATTCAAATTTTTCTCACCTTTAAAACCTTCCCTAGACCTCCACGAACACTTCAAGACAAGTTAAGATAACTCCGTTCAGTCGTTCTCGAGTTTTGGCGAGACTAACGAATAGCCCTTGATTTTTATATATATAGTTTAAGAGCTACAGGTGACTGACTGTGTATATGAAAGCAACTGGGTCTATGTTTCGTATAATACTCGCACGCTTGTTGACTCCTAACATATCGGATGCGGAACATGGTTGTACGCAGCGTTGGTTACTAAATCGTGTTTAATTTGCTGGAAATATGTATTTATTGATATTTAACACGGTATTCCATCTTCTTCCTACCAATGGAAGATTGACATTAGAGTTATTTTCTTTGTGTCAATGAAACTGACAGATCAATTACATGAGAAAAAGGGAATTAGAATGTCAAACCTTCTTCTCTTCTTATTTCTATTATTACCTATTAATATATTGAAAAGCTTTAATAAGTTTTCATAATTTTTAATACTAAAATTAAAGAAAATAAACATTGTTATTTTTTTACAACTATCTAATAGCAACTGTCGTAAAATCAATTAATTAAATTTAGTCGTTAATCTTGCAATAAATATCTCTTCTACCTCAACATTGCATTTACCCTTTGCACGGGCTTTATGCAATCGCTATAATGTACGGAGTTACGAAGGAGATCTTATACGAAATATCAAATCGGTCGCGACAAGTGCCCTATGCAACGACCCCACGACCATTGCACTGGTTACTCTTATATAACGAAATTCATATCAAGTATAGTAAAATATTTTAGCTAATAATATTACAAGAGAGTTAATGAAACTAAATAAGTGTAAAGATAATTTAAAAATATATCGAAATAATATTAGCTGGACCCATTACTAATGCATTGAAATCAACCTTCTTATTTACAAGACGGAATCATTAGCGCTATGAAAAATCGATTATCGAAAAAGATCACAGTCCAAGCGAGCAGAGCAAACCATATAGAAAGTTTGGTGGGATTTTTAAAAATGTTATATAATTTATTGAGATTTGACACGGCAAAAAAGTATAGTGTTTTTTTTTGGCTAAGCAACAGATTAATTTGGCTTCATATAGTTATAAAACCTATGAAAACTGAATTTAGCATACCTCTTTTGTTTATAATATAACTGGGTGAGAGTTATAGGTAAATTAAACCCTTATGAAGAGCTTAAAACTAAGAAGAAATTACAGAGTATATATCTTTAGTTTATTCATTGATAAGAAACTTCTTCGTTCGTCTTTTTTTCTAATGAGTACATTATAAAAGTAAACAAGCTATAGTAAAAGTGCACGCATGTCAGTGATGGTATCAAGGGTTCCGCACACAACAATGAAAGTGAAGGTATCCTGATGCGGTCAAACGTGTAATTGTCAACTTTCCAGACAAAGCGTCGCTGCAATTTGTTCCGTTTCACGTAATGCAAGAGTATTGTCTTCATTTAGTTACCTTCTCACATTGTGTTTATTTTCCACATAATGCTTTCCACTTTTATGCAAAGAAATTCATGTTTTATTATACTTAATAAAAAGATATGTTTATGACCGATGTATGTGTAGATTTATTAATGTAGAAGAAACGAGAGAGGTGTATAACGACGTTGAGGCTAAGCGACAACTGCGTCCGGCCACCTCAAGCCCGGTGAAGCTGTAAATGCCTCTTCAAGGCAAACAGTAACTACTCAGTTATAAAAAAAGGTGTTTCAGGACAGCGGATAAAAGAGGTCCGTGATATCTGTCTACCCCTCTGGGTTACGGGCGTGATTATATTGTTGTGGAAAAGATAGCATGTAGCAAAATTAGTTGTTTTAATAATAGTAAAATGAAGTAAGGAAAAATCTAATACTAAACTTGTATAGGAAGACTGAACTACGGCATACTAAAGTTGAATCTATTTTAAAGTTATTTACTACACATTTTCATAAGATTGAAAGATTGCACAAGAATTGACCGAGCAAATGATGGATTATTCTTTGGAAATACCCAATAGGCGCAACGTATGAGTGTTACAACACAACTTGAATAATGTAGTGCGTCTATGACAATAAGTTTGTTTTAAAGTAAAATAAAGTCAAACAGTCGTGCTGTCTTAGGTTAAGTCATGATTTCAGAACTTTGTTTATTTTTAATGTTTGTTGCCAATAGTCCTTAATTCATATTAAGTTTCCACAATTAGGGATTATCATGGCCATACTTTTTTACTTTCTTTCCTTACTGTCGCCAGTGACACATCCGCGCAGAATTTAAAAAAATACATAAGACTACTAATTAGCCTATGTGTTCTTCCAGACTGTGTTCTACGTCTAAGCCAAATTTTAGCAATATTCATGCAGAGCTTCTGGAGATACCCTCAAACAAACATCCATCTATCTAAACATTCGCATTTGTAATATTAGTAAGATATAAGTAAAAAGGTGACTGCAAGTTCTTCGAAATCTATGGGAGCTGTCACACGGTATACTCTTCGATGTTGCACCGCATTGTATTGTTCACAATAACGGTCGTAGCTTTCATATTGACATGGAATACATCTTGTTCGATAAAACACGTGTTGAGTTTCGTAGTATTTGCTTATTCGGAAACATTCATGCTTAGACGACATTAATGACAGGCTACTGAAAGTACCAAGTAGTTAATTAATTTCGCTACATTTTTGGTAATTTTCTTTTACACTCTACAATGTATATAAATTTATGAGTAAAAAAAAAAGGTAATCATACCCAAAACAGAAATATACGGCAGCGCCCAGATTCCTGGAATTTAAAAAAAAACATCATTAGGAACAAAATTAATTGGAATCTGCAACTTATAAAAAAATGCAAGTACATAAACATTATAATTGATTCATTAAAAGACAAATAATGACATGTAAATAATATCTGATTAAATAAATATACACAACACTCGTTGACATCTTTTAAAATGTCAAATCTGTCTGTTAACGCACTATTCCTGATATTAATATTTTCCGTCAGATCACAACTACAACACCAATAAGTTAAAGTCTACATCAATTCATAACTCTTTAATTGGCCTACTCTATACCTTTCTTAAATCTATGAATACTTAAAAAACTTATTTGTTCATGTTATAAGACACCTCGTTCAAGGCCATCTTGAATATCGATATTTCTAGAAGGGATATCACTTTGTAAGTTATTAGACAGTAAAAATAGCTTAATTAGATTAAGTGCCCATCCACTGGTGTGATTGTACTGGGTGTGTTTTAATTAATTAAGATTTTATTAGGACTCTTAGTATAGCCATTAACTAAAAATAGTATTATATACTATTTGTTTTAGAGTCAACTAACACGTTAGCTGCCAGAATGATTTTTCGAAAACCGTTTTTTTTTTAATTTAGTCTAAAACCATTTGATAACACCTATAAATACCTTATTTACATTGCTCATATACTTGTTATTTATATATTTATGATTCGCCGGACATATAGTTCGACACGGCCTGATTGAAAAATTAGCTTGTCGGACATAAAGTCCGACATGGCAGCTAACGTGTTAAACACACGCAAAGTTTAACGTAAAGATATCATCCATATTATTAAAAATGGTCTGCCTGTATCCGCTCAGACCGCCTGAGTCCGCAAGACCCGGCGATCTGGGTAATATCCGGAACGTCTGGACCGATTTTATCGGTACTTGCGGGAAGGTAGCTGATGCTGGATATTATTGGTTACATTTTATTTAATTCTGCGATGAAGAAGTCGCAGGAGATCGCTAATTCACCACATAATTTTGCAAAGTAATGTATTAATAAAAATAAATTAATGGACAACTGAAAAACACTAAAATTGGCTAAGTTTACATAAATTATAGTTGTGAAAGACAAAAGTAAAGCCTTACTAGGAGGCGGTGATAGCATTTGTACAGCTTTTACGTTATTTGTCAAGGCGCCGCGCCGCCAACTGAGTTGTGCTTTCTCAATACAAGCCAATAATGCAAGATGTAAAGAAATGGATTTCTTCGTATATCTGATACGGAATTGCATGTTATCTGTTTACTGTGAAATATTTGTATACTTTAGAAGCGTAAAAATAGGAAGGAAGTTAGTTTAAAAAAAGATTCTGTTAGTGTATTATTTTAAATCATAATTAAGTATAAACAAAAGCATAGGATGATAATGTCGTATTTAAGATTTAATAATTTTGCCTTTGTAATTTTAATATTAATGAAATTCCAATGAAATGCCAACATAAAATCAACGAATGACGCAACGTCAATCCTCATTAGGTAACAAAATCGGTCATTAGAGTCAAAAGGCTACAAAATCAAACAGTGAAACTCAGCCCGTTAACTTTCCGAACTTGCTGCTAATTGACGGAGAGCAGTTCATTTCATTTGCTGTTTAACTAAGAAACGAGTAATTTTTTAACAAAAAGATTTCTTTTTTTTCTAATTATTTTAATATCGGAAATAACCTGCTTTATCTTTTTAAAGAATTTTGGCGTTCCCATGTATGCATGTACTTTACGATAATTTGGGGACAATTAATCAACAAAAAAATCGATTAATTTACAATGTACCTAAATACACAACGATACTACACAAAATTTATTTTTTACGTAAAGGGGGCAAATCATTTTTTAAGACCTGTAACACATCGGCACCGGTTCTGTAGCGATTATATAAACAGCAAGGTCGAAGACAGGTTTACGAGACGAGTCTACTCTGCTCGAGTATATAATGTCATCAACACCGTCATCGAGAGCCGGATTGATACACGTGATAATGGCGCGTTTTTACTCATCTCATTTGTAAACGACCTGCTGATACATAACTGTAAGGACATACAATTATTTTTGCCTAAAGAGTTACTGATTTTTTGAAATAAAATGTAACTATCTAAGTGTAAATTAGTGAACTGTGAAAATTAAAATATAAGGCACAGGTTATTCTTTCGCTGACTACGTTCATAAGATCTTTAGTATCGCGACCTTTATAGATGATGGCGATAAACGAATATGCTCAGTCCATTCAGTGTAAAAAAAGATCAAAGTATTTAATTACTATACTCTGACATTCTGTATTTTCTTATCACGAAGATTTACACATTGTCATCTATAAAAATATGCATTTAAAGCAATTACTATGTAAATTACATATCAATGATAGCGTTTAACGTCGTATAAAATTATGGTCATTCGACGTTACTGCGAATAAACGCTTGAGTAAATAAAAATATGGTTTATTATGTCTACTTTAGCAATTATGGTGGATACAGTGGATCGTAGAAACCTTGAGTGAACAACTAGCAATTGAAAGTATAATTATTTTAAAAGCCTGTCACACTGGTCGTAGTTGTAGACATACGTGACCACTTAATTTGGGACCTTGTGGAGCTAGTGACATTTAATAAATATGTTCAATTCAGGTATCTTGCTAATTTAGACGCTAATATCAACAGCATATTAAATCAAACTTAATTATACTGACACTTACATATATGTAGTACATAAGAGGGATAATAGACTACATAGGGGAGGACCCTTTAATCCCTTGGCGGTCGTTAAAACGGACAAGGGAAGTTTAGGAAATTTTTACATCGTGTACCGCGTGTGTTCTTGTAGCTAATATTTTTATAGAGTACACCACTTTGAATGAATAGTTATAACTATCAAACTTCTAGCTACCAGAGTGCAATAATATAATTTAAAATGCACTGAAACTAATTGAAAATTATTCAATCTTACACAACTTTAGTTAACCTAAAAAAATAAACAATTACACTCACTTGAATATCAATACCAAACAAAATTGCACGTATCTCATCCTCATTAATCACTGAATCACTCACTTTCAATCAAAATATCACACGACATGTAAGAACGAAGAAAATAGTGAAAAAGTTGGTAACGTAAAGCGATCCGCATACGCGCGAAAGATGTTTTGAACGGATCGCGTTGTAAAGAAAGAGCGGGCGCCCACGCATCGCACGAGTCTATTACGAGCTCTATGTCCCCGGCCCTGCTCGCAAGGTTGCCTGGAAAACGCATTAGACAAGCTTTTCTTACATTTCTTTTAAAAACAACTTTAGCATCAACTCCTATTTCATAACGCAATGGTATAATGACAACACTATTTAGGAGCATATCTTCCTACCATCAATAAATTACATATTTATAGTAGAAAAATCAACAACCCTTTTTACAGATGTTACAAATTCGTTGGAAGAAAAGGGAAATTAGATATGGTGAATCCAATCACCGCGGCTGCGACTCAGTACAAAGTCGCGAGGCAGTTTAGTTTTTGGATTTTTAATTTTTCACTCTCTACATACTTTCAAAATAAATTGCCTAACAGTTAAAGTTATAGGCATTACTCAAAATCACACATACAATTTACTTTGTTACTCCAATAATAATAAAAACGTAAATAATTATTTTAAGATACAACACGTATATAATTATTTTAGTCTATATTAAATAAAAAAATCAAGGTCACAACCAACGCGAGGTTTTACAGCTATTGGATTTTGCAATAGACGAGCATAAAGTTGAATCGTAAAAGAGTTATTTCTGATTAGGTGGCACGACGCGTGCAATGCTTGGGTAAAACTATACCTTTTGTTAAAAACGTAATCTCCATCGCATGGGTTTCAACAAAGGACTCTCAGTACTATACACATATTGAGGCCGATAACAATGGCCCTTTATAGAACAATTATCCCTAATGACAAACTAAAATAACATATCGAATTACAACCAAACAAGTTAAATCCCTTACTCCCATATTACGTATTGTAATTTTCATACAATTGCAATTTTTCAGCAAATACAATTTAGACAGTACAGTGTTATAACTCTATCTTTATATATATATATAATTCTTCTGTGAGTGTGTATGTGACTGAACTTCTCTCAAACGACTGGACCGATTTTGATGAAATTTTTTGTGTGTGTTCAAGGGGATCTGGGAATGGTTTAGATTCACAATTTTGTCCGCGGGACAATGTTTTTTTAAATTAATTTTTAATTTATTAGTAGTTGTTGATTTTGTAATGTTTTACATTGGATCCGACAGACGGCGCTACCATCGCAGTGTCAAATTTTAAATAATATTCGAATTTATCAAATTGTAGACAGGACAACGTCTGTCGGATCCGCTAGTATTTACATATAATTAAAGCGTAATTTTAATATGGCAATTTTATTTAATAATTAAACCGAATCAACTCGTCTAAAAACCCCGTTGAAAGATTCAGTAAAAACTATGAAAGGGCTGGGATATATTTTTTTTTAATGATATCGGCATGCAAATATACTTTACGTTTAAGAATGACTAACGTCAATACGATTCAGTTGAATGAAAAAATTCTTATAATTTTCAATGACATGAGCAATTTATATACATAATATTTTTACGCTGATACACTTCTTGAAGGTTTACTCGCGATCTTAAGGTCAAAAGTGAAAGACTGGCTCAGAATAGATGGCTGGCACTGATGTGTTTCGGGGCAATGTTATCAAAGGCTCTAAATTTTACGAATTGCAAATGAATACTGACGTTACTTAGCTCATTAAATTCAAGTTTTATTGCTTGGATTTTTCTTTTCATTTTTATTTCCAAATATTGACGCGACGCTATCTATGAGACCATTACAAAACGCGTGACTATAATTTATGACAGTAACAAGCTAATTTACACAATACTAACTCTTACCAGCGACTTCGTCCTTGTGAAATTAAAAAAATCTAATAATACCCAGAAACAGTTTAGCTTTCAAAATCGGTTCAGTAGTTCCCCATTTTGGAGTCCCTTAATGCAAGCAAACATATATCCAAGTCACATCTACATGTTTGTCGCACAATTTGTGGTTACCCAGTCTATTTAAAACTACGATCCCATCTCTTATGGTAAAATATGCGCGATCTAACTATGCCATGCTAAGGTCGCTAGACATTACGTAAACACATATGTATATGCTTACACATCGTATGTGTTAATTATACTTAGTTCAATTAATCATCATAAGGAGTGTCAACAGCGGTGAGCTATTGATTGTCAGCGCCCACACAATGCAGCACAGGGCCACTTATAGTCATCCACATAACGTAAACACCGAATCACATAAATGTTCTGATTTACTCATACATAAAAACATAGGTACATATCCCGACGCGATGGAGCGTACGATGATTTACATTTACAAGCTGTGTATGCAACAGGGTTCATCGAAACTAGTTAAAATATGAAAAAATAGAAGGAATACAATAATATTTTGGTATTTTTATTATGATTCTTATTCGCACTTATTCTACAAAATGAATTTTGTGTCATAATTTGCCAAAATTTTCACTTTCATAAACAAAATCGGTAGTGGCGAATGTGTTAAACTATTATATTTGAATATTTTAACCCTAAAACGCTACAATTTCAGCACTTGTAAATATACGGAATGTAATCTGAAAGGCCGTTGTGTTATGAGTTGAGAAAAATATAAAACATTTTAAATATAATTTATTTGAACACATCGCATTCAAATCCAATACGATTGGTAAACGACTGTTATAAATGAATATTTAAGTTTACGTTTACCTTGACATTATGCACCTTAACGGGGAAATCTTTTACTGGCTGCATTCCATTCAGGCATATTTATTTCGAATATAAAATAACATAAAAGCGAAAAAAAAAATTTATATATCAACAAGAAAAAACTTTGGACCTAACCATAAAAAATTAAGCCTTTTAAGCACGCTGATATAACCAGAAATCATGAGTGTTAAAATATAATTATACGTAAGCTTTCAAAATGAGATCTTGATAAATTACCAATAGAATAGAATACCACATGTAAGGGTAAAACATACTTTTTTATAACTACGTTGACGTCCATAACATTCACCGACGATCTAAGGGTTAAAACATATGTTTAACTTAACAGTAACCGTATTTTTAGAGTAGGTAAAACAGTGTTTTTTGAGTATAATCTTAGCAACGAACGTATTAAATTATGAATAATATAAAAAACATAATACACCAGCGCCACAGAAATCATGGCATGTGATCTTATTATTGTAAACTTGTGAACGCTAACGGTGGCATCTCTGTTAGTATTGTTAGATGTCTAGTGCGTTATCGATGCCGTAGCGAGATGCTCTGATGTAATAGTTCACCAACAATATTGGGACAAGACGCGAAAGTTGTTCAGCCAGTTGTATAGTTAGCGACAAACCGATTGATATGGTTGTCACTTTATGAACAATTAATACTTTTCATAATTCAGGTGGGGATCGTGTAAACGACTGTATTTCGCTAAATTGGCGAAGTGACCGCTGCCCATTAACATTTACAAGTAGTTAAAGGTTACAGATTACTACGTACTATTTTCGTCTTATCTTGTCCTTATTTAACTTTATATTTATAAATATGATAGTCTTATTTATAATTTGCACATATGTTTTCGTACATCGCCATATTAATAGACGATGACATATCTTTTATCTGGAACAATTTTAATACGATGCTATGCAAAACAAAGAGGTTATTCAACTTAGCGTTATCGTGATTTTTTTTAGTATTTCCCATCGTGTCAGTTTTTATTTCTAAGAATTTAAATCCTTACCGAATTATAACATATGATGAGTTAATTTATGTAATTTCTTAATAACTGGACTCGTAAATGAGTAAATAAAATTTCCATAATATTTATATTAAACCGAAGACCCTGCTTATCTTAAGGTACACGTCTGAACTCAATAAAGGTCGAGGACATTTTAAACACGATGTGAATCGGATAGGTTTAATTTCTGGATGGATAGCTGAAAGGTTATTGTAGATTATAAAGTTTTTTTTTAATAGTAAAGACGTAAAAAACCTTTTTCAACGGATTCATGGTCAGTCATATGATTAAAACGTGTTGTGACAGCCCTGGGCTTCAGTCTTCGAGTGGAATGGCCACTGTGTCATCGGATCAAGGCGAGCCGAGCGGATAATGGCCCGACGACGATACGCTCGCAAAGAAATTTCATTTTTTTTCGTAGTTAAGTAACTGTTACATTTATAAATTTCATATTTATATAGTTACTCTAATTTAAGTCAATAGTCAACCCTAGGTTATTTGATTAAGTAAAAAAATGTTATGCACGTAACCCACATGTGCAAAAAATGTATTTCTTTTTGATATTTAAAAAAACAAAACGAAAGTATTGATGATATTATTTTGTACATGTGTTTGGTAATGAAAACTTATTATAAAACTTATTTTTTCAGATAGATCACATAAAACGAAATTTTAACAAAAGCATTCAATGCATTTTATCCTTTGACATCATTACGTAGCTAGCCAAAAGGAATTTTTATTATCAACGTATGAAGTAAAAAACAATGGCCAGAAACTGTTCGACATTCCTTTTCAATATAAAATATAATGACTTATGTCCTTATAATTTTGCAAGAAAGGTCAGAAGTTATTTGTTAATTTGGGTTATTCAAACTATTTTACGACGAGGGTCATGTCAATCAACAGTTCTTTTTGCACTTTAAATAAAATTGGAAAATAAAAAATTGAGATAAAAAGTTGTCCAAACAATACTGGCCATTGAATTGAATAATAAACTCTATTAAAAAAAATATAATTAAGACTAAATTAATTCCCTTAAAATGGGTTTATGGCACTAAAATTTCTGCCTAAAATATATACCCCTGTCTTTCATAGATAAAACAGAGATAGATATATTTTAAACGGAGATTTTTGACTCAGAAATCAACGGTTAACCAGTCACACGTTTATTTTGTTTTTTATTCTTTATGCGTACACACGGTATTCAGTTTTTATAATGATTGCAATGATTCATTATTGAAGCGTGGCGCGACGCAATAGTGATTCACAGATAACACAATCCAATCACCGATCTACTTTAATGAT